GTGATTAAGGGAGTTTGGCAAAAAGGGGGAGTAAGTGCTCCTTTGCTTTAGTTTCTCAAACATTTTCATGGTCTAGGAATTGGTTATTACTCTACTGCAATGAAAGTAGCTCATTCTTTGGTAAGTAACTGTGAAGTGGTTAATGTCTATGCTTTTCCTAAGGGTCGAAACAGGACAGAAAATGGTTGTAATAACACTTTAAGGATGAAAGGGTAGGTGATATATCGTGCCTGTAGCATATGAGAGCTTTGTCATGTCATGGCTCAAGATCATAAGCAGGTGACCAAACTGCAATTCTGAAACAAATCAGAGAGCGGAAAGTTACCTGGATGTTTTGTGTCAGGAAGTGGTCACATCCATTGGAACAGTTTCTTCTGATTTGGTCAAAGGTTAGGAACAGGAGACTGTGACCGCAAGGAAAGCAGGTAAGTGGACCCGGGGGCAGTAGTGCAGCAATTTTGAATTTTACAGTTTGGGTGAGAATGGGGCTGCAGTGTGGATAAGCAAAAATGACCATGGTGCAGGAAGACATTCAATTTGGGGAAATAAAATGGAATGTAACTGTAGCAGGAAACCGTCTAGTAAGGAAGATAAACTCTGTGCTCTGTAGCAAAGCATGCAAGTTCAGAGGACGAAGTTGACTGGCCTGATTGGCAGGAAAAGAAAGAGGTTTTGTATTGTCGGTATGAAGAGCTGGGTACCAAATTACAAGGCAGAACCTTTCTATTATTAAATGAGCCACATGCAAACTGACATGCAGCAAATAAAATTAGAGAAATGAATATGCGGTTCAAAACTAGTTTGGAAGAAGTGGATTCTAGTTCAGGAGGAACTGGCAACAGAACTGAGGAAAGTGGGATCAGCACTGTTATAAAGTCATAGAGTCACACAGCAGGGAAACAGACCCTTCAGTCCGACCAGTCCATGCCAATCATAATCCCAAACTAAACTTGTCCCGAATGCCTGTGCTTGGCCCTTATCCCTCCAAACATTTCTTATTCATGTACTTATCCAAACTTTGGCATGAACTGTGCTGAGTTGGTGTTCTAGTGAGTAGCACAAATAGACGAGAGAGTACTTTAAACAAAGTAGTTGGAATACAGTATCAAATTTTGGAAGATGTAGTAAACCACAGAATAAAGAAAATATGATAACAAAAATGATATCATAAATATTATAAATAAATATGACATTTATAATGAAATATTTTGGAGACAGTTTACTAGATCAGCATCTTCTGGAGCCAGCCAGAGAGCACACAATAATTAATCAATGATCTCAGTGAAGGAAAATTTAGGTTGCAACAATCACTGCAGAATTTCATTTTATGTTTAGTTTAAGGAAGAAAAGAGTGCGTCCAAGACTAACGTTGTAAACTTATAAGAGCAATTCTGAGATCACGAAAGCAGAGCTAAGGAAAGTGAATTGATAAATAAGGTTAACAATATATCAATAGAGATGGAGTGGCAGAAACTTAATGTGATATTTGACAACACACAAAATGCATACATTCCAATGAGAAAAAAAATACAATAGGACCTACCATCCCTGTTGTCTAAGACTAAAATTTAAAGAGTGTATGAAATGTAAAGGTAAAACAGAAAAGTGCACAAAGATGGATGGCACATCAGAAGATTAGCCACAGTATGGTAGCCCTGATGTGGAAGTGCCGATATTAAAATTGGGTGGACAGGGTCAGAAATCACACAACACCAGGTTATAGTCCAATGGGTTTATTTGAAATCACAAGCTTTTGGAGCCATTACACCTCTCACCCACTCCTTAATTATCTTGTACACCAGCTCTACAGCAGATGCCACAACTTTGAAATCGAGATAGGGTCCATATTCTCAACTTGTGATCAGGACATAGTGGACCAGCTGTAAGACACTGCCAAGCAGAAGAGCAAACGGCACTATGCCACCGACATGCACACCAAGCACAGGAGACTGAAAAAACTCAGCATCACCACCAGCAGTAACCAAGCTTCCCCTGGTACCATGGTTGAAATGGGTACCGCCACAGCGAAATACATCGTCAACTTGTCTGACCACCCCTTTTAACCAGATAAAATTGAAGTTCTCAGCTCAATTTCTGTCCCCACTACTGACATGGACCCCGTTGGTCTTGCGGCAGACACAGAGGAATTCATCAGGCGAATGAGGATTCCGGGAGTTCTTCTGCAAACCCCAAGATGTCAGCAACGAGCCCAACAGGACAACAAGCAAACCAGAGCAATCAACAGAGAGATCTGCAGTACAGCGACCAAAGAAGAAAGAATCAAATTGGATCCTTCCAAAACGCCGCTGTCCTAGGCTTGACATTATACTCAAGCCATCAGAAGATGCGTTAAGGCCAGATTTATCAGCCACGTTCAAAAGATAGCGCAGAATGTCACCCAAGCACAATGCAATGCCATCCATGCTCTCAAGACCAACCGCAACATCATCATCAAACTAGCAGACAAGGGAGGAGCCATCATCATACAGAATAGAAAAGACTGCTGCAAAGATATGTTGCAACAACTGAACAACAGATAACTACCCTCCATTCCAACTAAAGAACACACCAGTCAACTCAACAAATTGATCAAAACCTTTGATCCAGATCTTCAGAGTATCATACGCACTCTCACCCCGGGTACTTCTAGCATAGGAAATTTCTACTTCCTTCCAAAGATACACAAAGCCAACACACCAGGACGTCCCATCATATTAGGCAATGGGAGCCTGTGTGAGAACCTCTCTGGCTATGTCAAGGGCATCTTGAAACCCATTATACAAGGAACCCCCCATCTTCTGTTGTGACGCTACAGATTTCTCACAGAAACTCAGCACCCACGGACCATTCGAACCAGGACCATTCCTCGTCACAATGGACATTTTGGCACTCTACACCTGCATCCCCCATGACAACGGCATCACTGCAACTGCCTCAATACTCAACACCAACAACTGCCAATTTCCAGGCGTTATCCTACAATTCATCTGCTTCAACCTAGACCACAAAATCTTCATCTTTGACAACTAGCTATTCATCCAGGCACACAGAACAGCCATGGGGACCAAAGTTACACCCCAATATGTCAACATTTTCATGTAGAAGATCAAGCAAGACTTCTTTGCTGCACCGGACCTCCAATCAATGCTATACACCAGATACATGACATTTTCTTCCTTTGGACTCATTGTGAGGAATCACTGAAACGATTACACAATGATATCAACAAGTTTCATCCCACCACCAGCTTTACCGTGGACTACTCTTCAGAATCAGTCTCACTCTTGGACACACACATTTCTATCAAGGACGGACATCTCAGTACCTCACTCTACTGCAAACCCACGGATAACCTCATGATGCTACGCTTCTCTAGCTTCCACCCTAAACATATTGAAGAAGCCATCCCCTTTGGACGAGCCCTACGTATGCGCAGGATCTGCTCAGAAGAGGAGTAACAAGACGGACACCTAAAAATGCTGAAAGATATACTTATAAGAATGGGATACAGTGCTCAATTCATCCATCACCAGTTCCGATGCACCACAGCATAAAACCACGATGAGTTCCTCAGAAGACAGACACAGGAAACGACCATTAAAGTACCCTTCTTTGTCCTGCACTGCCCTGGAGTGGAGAAACTACACCATTTTCTTCGCAGCCTTCAACATTAAATCAATGACGACGAACATCTCGCCAAGATCATCCTTACACCTCCACTTCTCACCTTCAAACAACTACCAAACCTTAAACAGACCATTGTCCGCAGCAAACGTTCCAGCTTTCAGGACAGCATCGACCACAACACCATACAGCCCTGTCACAGCAATCTCTGTAAGACATGTCAGATCATTGACATGGATATTACCATCACACGTGAGAGCACCACCCAACACATACATGGCAGATACTTATGTGACTCGGCCAATGTTGTCCACTACATACACTGCAGGCAAGGATGCCCCAAGGCATGGTACATTGACGAAACAATATATATGCTACATCAACAGATGAATGGACACCGCGTAACAATTACCAGACAGGAATGTTCCCTCCCAGTGGGGGAACACTCCAGTGGTCAAGGGCATTCAGCCTCCGATCTTCGGGTAAGTCCTCCAAGGCGAATTTCAAGATACACAACAGCACAGAATCGCTGAGCAGCCAACTTCCGTACCCATGAGGATGGCCTTAACCTGATCTTGGGTTCATGCCACGCTACATGCAGCCCCACCACACTGTTCTGTATCTGTAAAATCTTCCTTACTCTCATGTTTTGACACCATCACCTGTTATGATCTCTCTACCTTAATTAGTTTGCACAGTTTTGGATTACTTGTTATTTTGGTTAGATCCTCGGCATGCCACTGATATACCTATCATGTTATTCCAGCCATTTGTTTTGTCTCCAGCACCATCTTATTTTTAACTTTTGTAATTATCTCTCTCCCTCAATTAATCAGATCATGGGTCATCCCCTCACTTGCAATTCAGCCGTTGACACTTTACTCACAATGTCTCATACTTTTGATCACCTGCAAAGACTTGTTATTCAACCTGTACACACTCCACTCACACCATGATGGTCTTTGTATGATCTTTTGATTTGTCTGCCTATAAATTCTGTGCCTGTGTGCTTCTCTTTACGTCACCTGATGAACGAACAGTGCTCTGAAAGCTTGTGATTTTAAGTAAACTGTTGGACTATAAACGTGTTGTGTGACTTCTGACAATAAAAATAACAGCAAAGGATGAGTAAACCATTGATAAAGAGGGGAGAAATACAAGAAAAAGCTTGTTAAAATGTAAAAACATATGGTAAGAGTTTCTACTGATAATTGAAAAAGTGATGAGTTAACAAAATGAATTTTTTCCTATAAAAATTAGCCTAGAGAATGAATAACAGAAACTAAAGAGGTGGCAGAAGAATAGAACAGATCATTAACATTGGTCTTAACTTCAGAAAATATGTTAACATCCTAGAATTAGGTGTAAAGCGGAATATGGAAGGGAGAGAGGATCTTGAGAAAATTGCAATCACCTGGAAAGTTTTATCGAGCAACCTGTTGGAGTTGCAATCTGACCAGTTCCTAGGTCTCAATGAGCTTCACCATATTGTTTAAAAAAGAAGTAACTAGTGAGAGAGTTGACGAGTCTTTTTAATTTTTTGAAATTCCCTTGATCTGGGGAAGATTGAATTCAATTGTAAAATAAGAAATGTTACTTCTTTATTCAGGGAAACAGAAAGCTGGCAACTACAAGCCACTTAGCCCTTATTAAACACTTGATAGCAGGGTACTTTAAAAGGCTTAAGGCAATCAGGAGAGTCCAAACTGGATTTGTGAAAGGGAATTCCACAAGACCATAAGCTGTAGGAAGCGAAGTAGGCAATTTGGCCCATTGAGTCAGCTCTGCCATTCAGTGACATCATAGCTGGTTTAATAATCTTCAGCTCCACTTTCCTATCCTTTCCCATAATCATTTATTCCCTTACTGATTTAAGATCTGTCTATTCTCAGCCTTCAATATACTTAATGACCCAGCCTCAACAGAAAAGAATTCTACAAATTTGCTTCAGTGGGCTACAATGGTGAAGTCACTTCTCTTGACTGGTCAGTATTGTATAATTTTGTGTTTAAATATTAATTTAAATTAGTGTCAGATATAACATTCAATTAAGTTGTGAATTTTAATAGATTTTTCAAAGAGTGATATGAAATGATATTGTGAATTTATTTTTATTTCAGTGAGTTTGGTCTTCTTGCTTCAAGTATCACTGGGTAAGTCATTGTACACTTATATGTCACATAAAGTGGTACATTTTGTTGTTCCAGGGAAGGTGAATGTATGGCAGAACATAATGCTCCCCCAGTGATGGGTTTGGTTTTGTGGGTTTGGGAAGGTGTGGGGCCATCATGTCCAATTATTCCAGGGTTTGGGAGGCTCCTCGGATATTAGCTTAGACATCATCCCAGTACTACTGGAATTCAACCAACAGCTAGGTAGGTTTGTGCAGTGGACAAGAAAAAAAGGTGCTGGCTTGCATGCAGGTCTCCTGGGGTGGGTGGAGGCCTCATTCAGTGGCATCCTGTGCATGAAGGAACCCAGTTGCCCTCTCAGAATTACACCTCTGCCCTTCCCACACCACCTTTCCCTGCACCCCTCTCTAACCTGTGGCACATTCCCCATCATTAGGTAAGGATCTTCTTGCCAAGTGCAGAGGCTATTTTTCATATTAATCCAGCTGAAAGCAAGTTCCAATCTCACTATGGAAGATTCAGAATCAGGAATTGATTTTTTTTTTTAAAAGACCATCTAAATGACCATCAGGAAAGATGAGGATGGCATGGTGGCTCAGTGGTCAACACTGCTGCCTCATAGCACCAGGGACCCAGGTTCAATTCCAGCCTTGGGTGATTGTGCAAACTCCACACTGACATTCTTCCCCATGTCTGCATGGGTTTCCTCCCAGAGTCCAAAGATGTGCAGATTAAGTGGATTGACTATGGGAAACAGAGTCCCAGGAATAGGGTAAGGGGGTGAGTCTGGGTGGGATGCTCTTGAGTTGGTGTGGGCTTGTTGGGTTGAATGGCCTGTTCCTACACCGTAGAGATTCTATTTGTAACAGGTGGCTGTATCTGTATCATTTGTTTTAGACATTCACACAAAGTGGTCATCTAACTAGCAGAGAAAGAGGTTGACCCAGTATCAACCTGAAGACCTTTGGATGACTGGGATTTGTTGAGATCCTAGACTTTTCATTTGGCTGAATTTTTATTAACAAAACCAGTGTAACTAGCTCAAAAAGCTATGGAATACTAAGCACATGAATTATAGTCAGTGTAAATGATGCTTTGTGCTAGTTTGCAAAACAGTGTGCTAGAATTTAGTCTTAATGACTGTTTATCATGCCCCCACGATAATGAAATAATCAGAACTGGGAATTTTCAGTGATTGTGCTCATTTACATACTTTTGAGGAAGCTTGAAAAATCAATTTTTCATGTATGCTGGGCAATAATATGAAGACATTAAATATAACAAATATATTCTATAAGAATCCTGGATGACAAAACACAAAAGAGACCTCTTGGCCCAGAGCCTGCACTGACATATGAGAGAGACCTAATCTTCAAACTAATCTATTTATCAGCACTTGGTCCATAGTCTTGAATGTTATAACGTGTCAAGTGGTCATCCAGGTACTTTTTTTAAAGTGAGAGGCAATTTGCCTCTACTACCCTCCCAGGCAGTGCGTTCTAGACCATCACCACCCTCTAGGTTTTAAAAAAGAGTTTGTCCTCCCATCCATACCCTCCCCCATCCCCTGTCAAAATCTATTTCCCCTCACCTTGAATCTGTATCCCCTTCTGAATGACCCTCTAACTGAGAGGAACAGCTGCTCTTTATCCTCTCTGTCCATGCTCCAAAAGCTTGTGTGATTTTATTTTTTCAAATAGTTTGTAGGGTTGGGAGTAAATGTGTCTTCAATCAAATTAAAACTGATTAATATTAATTGACAAAATATATGAAACATATACATAAATTCTCTTATGCATAACTCTCTGGCAGGAACTTTGGCAGATTTCATTTCAAGAAAACTTTTGGAGTTAGCTTGTGGACAGAAGTAAACACCATCAGTCCTTTAGTCCCATAAGGTCCAAGCCTTCAGAAAGGTCAATCACCTATTTAATTTGTCAGTTTTGCAACAGTATTGTCTTGTTAACTTATTTCAAATAACATTATTTTCTCCCACTTTAGTTTCTTCCTTCGTCCTACTTTGTTACTACCTAGCATGGTCTGAGGAAAGAGTAGTTGATATTGACTTCTACCCAGAAAGCATTGATCCTTTCCTGTGCAGCCATTTGGTTTATTCCGATGCCAGTGAGACAGCTGACATGTCTCTATGGAAAGATGATGATTTATATCAAAGGTTTAATGATCTGAAAAAGAAGTAAGTCATATCATCTGAAATGCATTAGTTCAGATTTTTTTATCCAATTTGCAATCATTCTTATGTTCTTAAAATTCTTTAACCAAGTGTTTATTGTTCTAATGAAAGGTTAGCAGACTCAAAAAATAACTTTACATTCTCTCCACAGATGCTGCTAGACCTGCTGAGTTTCTCCAGCATTTTGTCTTTGTTCCAGATTTCCAGCATCCGCAGTTCTGTTTTATTTTTGATATAATTGGTGTTGTGCAATGGCATAGATTTCAGACCTACCAGGTTGAATTTTTAAGGCGCTTAATTAATAGGATGAAATACAATACCCCAGAATAGATGTACCCACCCTACCTTCAGCCATTCTATCTCTGTAGGCAAAGTCAGTGAACTTTCTTTAGTTGGGTGAGTCTGAGTGCAAGGTTTAGGAACATCAGGACGCACAGAACCTAGGCAAAGTGTGTAATTCTATGATATTGTAGCCAAGTAAACAGTTAGGGTCTTGAATCAAATTCAAGAACTTGTAAGTTTTATGGCACTCGTCCTGCATATTAAGCTGTCAAATCATGCGCAACCATGATGATGCACTTTGGTCATCTAAAAACTAGTCATGAAGCCACTAAGTGGCAATAATTGGATAAAGGCCAAATAGATGATAACAGGACATCAGTTGTGTAATACTCTTCCCTAACAGCCATCTAAGGTCAGAGTTGACATTACAACTACATTCAAGACTGGTACAAGTAAAACTAAAGGATACCAAGCTGCATTGGTGGACATTGGGGTACTCTACTTCTCACTCTTTTAAACAAAAAGTGCTGTTTAAAAATACAGAAGGACAGCTTCAATTTAGACGATCAATCATGGGACAAATTTCATGAAACAAACGAGTTTCTCTTCTATATTAAAGAGGAGCTACCTGTGTTTAGAATTCTGTGAATTACTCAATTTTTCTTCCCCTAAATAGTGCGAAAATAATGAAAAAGTATGCATGATATCATTTTTGCTTCTTATGCTGGGAAATCCCACAACAGGCACAAATCTGCAACACTTAAAGGGAGCAGCATCTTTTAAATTTGCAAAAAAAAAACATACATCAACAAAGACTGAAACACTAGAGAGCTTCTTTTTTTGCTGAAAGTTCTTGAAGGGCATAAAGGTGTGCACAAGGAAGATGGAAAGCTCTCCAGTGATAGGATGTCAGGACTTCCAATCAGAATTTTGGTCATTTAGAGAAGAAATCAATGTCTAATTTTATGGATCAGAAAATAGCTGACAAAGAATGACGGTCAAGTTTCTTTTTACAGTGGACTTTGAAGGGTTAGAAGAATGAAAACCTTTTGATATTTCTGAACATAAAGATCTTGGCACAACTTTCCAAGAGTTTAGGAGATCAAAGCATATTTCAAGTCTACTTCAGGATACATAGGCTTGACTTCATGTCATCCTACCAAGAGCCAGATGATATGATTATATAGCGGACAGCCAGATGTCAACACAAAGGTACAGAATTTCACTGAAGCTAACTGAACTGAATGGCTGATGGAATTGATTTTATTGCCTTTACACCCAGCAAGACCTTTGGAAAAGTACTTTCAGTCCAACCCAAAGATCATACATTCTTCTTGTAGCATCTAAATAATTTCAAAGCAATTTGTAGCAGGCCAGTGTCTGCAAGAGTTTGACTCTGGAACAACTCTTGCAGAGTTAATAACTTCAGCAGAACATCCAAGTCTTGTATGAGGTTTGGCTTTTCTCAGCCAGTGTCCAAAGTTTGTGCATGTTAGAGAACAAAGAGGACATTAGGATTAAATGTCTACAAGTCAAATCACCAAGGAAACCCAAAGTGTGACATAGGCCCTTGAGGTAATATGATCTTTCATCTCACACAGATGAACTAGGACTCTCCAAGAATGCAATCATCAAAGGTAAACAAGTCTTAATTCTGCAAGATGCACATTCCAAACACATTAGTACGTATACATATGGGTCACCTGGTCACAGAAAGCCACAACGTTATGTGTGAACATATGCATTTTAATCAACATTAAGGATACCAATCAACTAACTCAGTTGTGCAAATTGTTAATTCCATTGACCTGAGCAATTAACATATCAATTCCTTCCATATGCCATTCCTTCTGACCAGTGGTGAAAATTTGCCACTGATATTTTCCATGTCTATGGACATGAGTAAATCCTAGTTATGTACCAGACCAGACCCCTCAAAATGTTAAGGTAGAGAAGACTTTACACTTCTCTTCAAATTAAGAAAATGTTAAGGCGTTGCATTCTAATGCAATTTGATTTGGTCAAATTTTTCAACGTTAAGCAAAACACTTTATTTTTATACTACACCTATAGATGAAATGAAGAGAATTGACTTAGTTGTAACTGTATCAAAATGCTTAACAAAATAATACAGAAACTATGACTAAATGAACCAACATAGTAACATCCCCTAAACACATGCTTGGCAAAGGCAAATTCAGTAAAATAGATTGTCTCATGCAATTCTAGCAGCAGGAAGAGAAGCCCAGCTTATAGCAGTAATAGAGAGGAATAAGAGCTTCAAGGTCCTAGTGTAGAGATTGGAATGAAGTCAGCCAGGTAGACTTCATTGAATGATTTCCCTGATGGGGGCTGTTAACCTGGTCAATCAGGGAGCCCTGGCTGACAGATATATGCTGGAGTGTCAAGGGTTCTGTTCACTCTAGGAGCTAGCTTTGTGCTAGCTGGGTCAGTGTTTTGTATTGTGTGTGTAAATAAAGGGTGACTTGGTGACGGGATACTGGCCTCTGTGGAGTTATTTCACCTAGCAACTGCTACTGAAGGCCTAAATCCTGGTTTGTTGGAACTTGACCCCACTCATTCAGGCTGGTTCGATTGTTCCAACATTTTAAATAAAAAATAAAAGGCCTCTGGCTTTGGAGCAGACTGCTCAACACCTCTGTCTCCAATGTTTCTTCATTAAATAAAAGACAGAATACAGGTCTTAAAGCCATATAAGGTGAATTGCTATTTCACCAAACCCCTCTTGTGCAACTATTCAAAGATACCATTGTGCAGTATTGACTGTCATATTCAGTTTGTTCAGCATGGTGTAATAAATCTGACAATAGCCAAAGTACACTGTGTCCTGTCCAAGACATGCAAAAGAGGAATTGTGATGTTCAACGTATTCAACAACCTCCTCTCTTCACTTCCATTGTGCTCCTCCATTGTTCCATTCCTTTAAGAAAGGTAGCAAAGACAGTGAGCCTGACATCAGTGATAGGCAAGTTATTGGAGAGGATACTGAGGACACGTGAGGAGCAGTTGAGGACCCTGGGTCTGTACTCAATGGCGTTTAGATGGATAAGGGGGAAATCTCATTGAACTTACAGAATACTGAGCAGCCTGGACAGAGTAGACAAGGAGAAGATGTTTCCACTAGTAGGAGAGACCAGGACATGAGGGCACAGCCTCAGATGGCTGGGACAACCTTTTAGAACTGAGATGAAGAGGAATTTCTTCAGCCAAAAGGTGGTGAATTTGTAGAAAGTATTACTGCAGCCTAGACATTGAATGTATTTAAGGCAGAGATAGATATATTCTTGATTAGTAAGGGGATCTAGGGATACAGGGACAAAGCAGGAGAATGGGTTTGAGAAACAAATTGGCCATGATCAAACGTTGGAACAGACCTGATGGCCTGATTCAGCTCTTGTGTTTTATCGTCTTATATCAATGAAAACAACAGAAGCCACATCACAAAAACAGAGTGGAGGATTGGCTTTGCTGTATGGATTCTGTTACCTTGTGTTCCCATCGCCACATAGCCCAAGAAAGACACAATTACATATAAGAGCATGTCAAATATCTTCACTTCAATGTGAGAGGGAATCATTTTGGTGGCCTTGTGCAGCCTGTAAGATCAGCATTGTTTTATGATTTGTGACCCATTGGTGCCAATTTTAAGATGCCTGGGATTACTACTGCATCATAGAGATGACAACTTTCAATCTGCAATGACCAAAGACATGATCAAGATTGCAAGTGTTGGAAGCAAGCACTCTATACAGTTGAAAACGCATACTTTCACATGCATGATGTTTTGATCACACATTATTTCAACCTGTACTGTAGAAGTGCCTGATTAATGCATTTTTTTATTTGCTTGTAACCGCCCCTTGATTTGCTCCTTTATAATTGACCCATCTTCCTGTAAGATGGCAGCAGATGAGTAGGTAGAGCTCAAGCCCTCCTGAGCCTGGGGCTCACCTGCTCCCTTTTCTATCTGCTTTTTCTTTCCTTTTTCTTTGTTTTCCTTTCTCAATTGCCTTTTTGTCAGTGGAGGTGTGAGTGTGGGACAAGCACCAGACCTGGCATCAGTATCAGTGGCTGGTACATTAATGGAGGCAACGTCGAGATGCGGCAGGGGGCACAATTTGGCAACTCTAGAGTGGTGACTTCATTGGTGGGTCCAGTACAGATGGCGGCAAAGTGTTGGCAGAGGAGCATTGGCCCAGTGGCAAAAAGATAACACCTGTAGAGTGGCAACTCATCATATTGCACTGTCCCACCCAACTGCCCGTTGCTGTTCGTTATCTATATCATTGATTCGGATGAGAATGTATAAGGCATGATTAGTAAGTTTTCAGATGGCACTTAAATAGGCAGTGTTGTGGACATTGAGAAAGGTTAAATTGCAGCAGGAACTTGATTGATTGGGAAAGTGGGCTGAGAAATGGCAAATAGAGTTTAATACAGGTAAGTGTGAGGCATTGCATTTTGGAAGGTCAAATCAAGGTAGAAGTTTCATGGTGAATGGTAGGGCCTTAAGGAGTGTAGTTTAACAGAGGGACCTTGGAGTTCAGGTGCACCGTTCTCTGAAAGTGGAGTCACAGGTAGACAGAGCAGTGAAGGCTTATGGCACACTAGCCTTCATTAATCAGGGCATTGAGTATAGAAGTTGGGAAGTTATGTTGCAGTTGTACAGGATGTTGGTGAGGCCACACTTGGAGTATTGTGTTCAGTTTTGGCCACCTTGCTACAGGAAGGATATTATTAAACTGGAAAGGGTGCAGAAGAGATTTGCGAGGATGATGCCAGGACTCCAGGAACTGAGTTATAGGGAGAGTTTGGACAAGCTAGGACTTTTCTTTAGAGCGTAGGAGACTGAAGGGGAGTCTTATAGAAGTGTATAGGATCATGAGAGGCATGGATAGGGTGAATACACTCAGTCTTTTTCCCAGGTTTGGGGAATAGAGGACTACAGGGCATCAGTTCAAGTTAAGGGGGGAGAAAAGTACGTGGGAACCTGAGGGGCAACTTTTTATTTACAGAGGGTTGTAAGCATATGGAATGAGCAGCCAGCAGTACATTAACAACATTTAAAAGGCGTTTGGACAAATTCATGGATAGGAAAGGTTTAGAAGGGCATGGGCCAAGTGCAGGGAAATATGGTTGATGTGGATAAACATTTTGGTCGGCATGGACCAGTTTGGGCCAAAGGGCCTGTTTCTGGACTGTAGGCCTCTATGACTCATTGGTGGGTCCTGCACAGGCCATGGCGAGAAGGAGGGGTAGCATGGGCATCGTTGGTGAAGTGACTCATGATTCATGGTGAAGGCATGGTGCCAGGTCATGGTGACAGTTGAAGATTTTCACTGTCTTTTACTGTATTATTCACTGTAAAATACACATGACAATAAATCATTCATGAAATGAAGGATTCAAGTCCCTCACAGGAACAGCCTGCAAAAAAAATCCGCCCACTAAGTGTGTTTGCAGCCATTTTTCAATTTCCAGTGTGCATTTACAATTCAGATGTGAATGAATGGCAATGCACATCATATTTGGCACAGAGTCTCAGATTCAGCCCAGTAATCAAGGGATCCACTGAATTACCATTTTCCTTTCTTCCTGCCATTTTCCATCAAGCCCATCATTACTGAGCCTCCACACATTACCATTACCACTTTGATTTGTCTTCAGCTCTCAACATTGCCTGTGAGCCCTGGCCCGACAGTTTAGCCATGCCAAACATTGTATTGCACTATTGCACCCATCAGGACAATGTCATGGTGACCATCAAGAACCTACTCTACCACACACGGCAACCCACGTTCTCTAATGTACCTGCTTTAAATATCCAATCTCCCTTGTTCAAAATTACTGTCCCTTTTGCAACCCAGAATGCCCCTGCATTGATGGTAGACGATGCCCTTGATCTACTGTGTTGAGATCTCCTGAATGAAAACAGCTTCCCTTGACTTGACTGACTACTCCCCCTAAACTTTGAGAATTGCCTTTTGATTGGTGTACATGTAGTGTGGTTCCCACATAGGTTGTTGGCATATGGTGAAAGTGTGAGATGGACATAACATGGTGCTGTACAGCACCATATTCCTCACATGACTGATCACTGCTGACAACCATGACGAGCTGCCTGGATTTGTATCTATACTAAAAGAAAAGGCAACACAGAAAACTAAGTACTAAGAGCAGTAAGACATCAAACACCAATCCCTGTCATGCCCCTTGGTCCAATCACTGTGTGCAAAGTGTCCTTGCACAACACTACAATGAAAGGTCCTGGTAAACTCCAAAGTATACCATGGAAATCTTGCAAGTAGGATGAGAAGTGCCATGAGGGTGCAGTGATGCTGGTACATGTTTAATACCAACAAGCATGGACAGACTGTGCGAGCAATTGCTGCCTTTGGAGTGTGTGGAGTGTTCTCTAGGTTGTTGGTGACTGGTATCCAAGACGACAGTCCACGGATGCAAACAACAAGCTGCAGTCGCCTGGTAACCACTTCAGTCTCAGATCAGGAATTGTTGCTGTCTGGTATTTATCTGTCATGTAGGGAGAATGAGGAATAACTGCTCGTAAATGAGGCTAAATGAACAGTAATGACACATTAATTCATGATGATGCATGTAAATACACCTTTTGCCACTCACTAGTCAGAGTCTTGTCTTGCCATTCAACGATTGCTTGAAAATGGGATATTTTGCACTTATTGTCAAGAAGCCCCTCTCTGTTGATCCCACACATTTTTCCCAACTTTCTCACCAATTCCCATGTCATTCAGTGCCTGGTAAAATTTTGCCCAATATTTCTATTTGTATTCTTGTACGTGTTCATTGGAAAAAAGTATTCCCATTCTTTAAAGTAAGAAAAGGTATAGATTCCAGACCAGATGGACTAATACATGTAGAGAAAATTACATCATTCATAAAGGGGAAAATCCAATATAAAAGGTCACTCGCGCTGTGTAAAAGTGTCAATGTAGTGAAAAACACAGTAACCTACAAATTGTGTCAATTGGTCTGGATCCTTACGTCAGTCAAGATATTGATGCCAGTTGTTCCTGCCTTATTCACTGTAACACTGACCGTTTTCTCACATTCTTCTTCACAGAAATAAGAATCTGAAAACACTGATGGGGTATGGAGGTTGGGCTTTTGACAGTAGCAGGTAAAATATGTCAATTTGCAAAATTAGATAATTTCCAAAGTTTTCAGTGAGTCAAGGGTTTTTTTAATTAGCAATGTCAGAATCTCTTTTTCTTTCATAAATTTGAATTAGCCATTTTCCAATATGCAAAAAAACTGTGACAATTCATACTTACCTTGCAGAGTTTAAAGTGTCATACTATTTTTCCTCTTCAATGCCGAATTTGACTTTTCAGACAACGTAATAAAAATGTTGATTTTGTTTTTAAGCAGGAATTTAACCCTAAGCTACAAGTTACCATCTCCAGAATGTGGAAGTTTGTGTTTCCTGAAGGCGTGTTATGAAAAATTCCAAACTTCCGATAATTGAGGATCCGTGTCAGTGGCCATGTCACTGGCAGAGGGAAAATCATTTAGCCTCCTGATGACCTTGTCTGTCCACCAAATTTTTCTGTTTTACACAAACACAAGATTATTAAAGAGGAAAAAGTGCATTGCAAGTGCATTCAATCAGAAAGGTCTTGAAGACCTATTTGATTGCTTTTTAAAAGATTTGAATGGACAGACAATTAATGCAGAGCACATTGACCAGATTACCAGTTTTAGTCACGTCTGTAGAGAAGCAAATGATGGGCAGGACACAGCTAACATCTTCCCTGCTGTGCTTTGAAAGTGCAGTATCAGCTTTAATGCACCCACCTGAGAGGTTAGTTGGGATTTTGATTTAAAAGTTTACCTGTGCCTCTGACAGTACACTACTCCCTCATCACTCACTCCAGTTAGAGTCAGCCTACATTATGTACATAAGTTTCATGTGGAACGTGAACCATTCAAGTGGCACGGTGGCTCTTTGATTAGCACTGCTGCCTCACAATGCCAGGGATCTGGGTTTAATTCCACCCTTGGGCGACTGTTCGTGTGGAGTTTGCACGTTGTCACTGTGTCTGTATAGGTTTCCTCTTAGTGAGTCTTCTGGTTTCCTCCCACAGTTCGAAGATATGTAGGTTAGGTGGATTGGCCATGCTAAATTGCGCGTAGTGTCCAGGGATGTGCAAGCTAGGTGGATTAGCCATGGGAAATGCAGAGTGACAGGGATTGGGTTGGGTCTGGGTCGCATGCTCTTCAGAACGTCAATGTGGATTTGATGAGCTGAATGGCCTACTTCCCCACTGTAGGGATTCTGTGATTCGCCTTCCAATTTGAAGCAAACACCTTTTCTAAGTGACAACGATATCTTAATGCAGTTCCAGAAATAGTCAAATTTAAGTTATCCTCATTTTAAATTTTGCTTCAAAAACTCTCTTTTGCAATGTTCACCGACAAATGACTACATCATTAATTGTTAGTAATACATTCCCAAGGCATTGTGTATAAAAGTGAAACCAGAAAGACACTGCTAGTTTTCTGTATTAAAAACCATTGCATCGATGGGGAGGCGATGGCCTAGTGGTGTTATCACTGGACCGTTAATCCAGAGGCTCAGATAACGTTCTGGGGACCCAAGTTTGAATCCCAGCATGGCAGATGGTGGAATTTGAATTCAATAAATATCTGGAATTAAGGCTCTAACGATGACCAAAATCCATTATTGATTGTTGGGGACAAACCCATCTGGTTCACTAATGTCATATGGAACTTGCCTTCCTTACTTGGTCTGGCCTATGTGTGACGCCAGACCCACAGCAATGTAGCTGACTCTTTACTGCCCTCTGGGCAATTAATGCTGCCTAGCCAGTGACCCCCCTCATCCTGTGAATGAATAACGGGGGAAGAAAAGAAAAAGTTTGGGAGCTAAGGGGTTTATGGATAAGTGTGTACGCCAAAATTTAACCTATAGCTCAGAAATGTTTAAACATAGGAACAGATTTCTCATTACACAACTGTGAAATTTAGATAGAAACTTATTCAGAAACAAATGTGGTAAAATAAACACAAATTCAAAGTATACCTTCCTGAGGTTTGAGACACTCAGAAAACTCTCTGTTCCTTTTGTCTTTTAACTGCAGTTTTAAAAAAAGCACTGACCAGAAAATAATTCTGATTCTCTGAAGGAGATTTATAAATTTAACATTTTCTCTATTTTCAATCTTTTTCCATCATTAGTTTTAGCGACATGGCAGCACAACAGAATACTCGAACAAATTTCATCAATTCTACAATTGACTTTCTGCGAAGTCATGGATTTGATGGTTTAGACCTGGACTGGAGGTTTCCTGCCTTTGAAGACAGCCCAGCAAGTGATAAAGAACATTTTACCCTCCTTGTCAAGGTAAAAAAAAATCTAAAGATATCCTATCAATGCAGCATCTTCTGTATACAATTGTAGATTACCTAAAACCAATAATGCATTCTCAATATTATAGAAGGCCACACATTTATTGAAGTGATTGATAAACAAGGACCATATTTATAGTAGGAATAGTAGGAACTGCCGATGCTGGAGCCTGAGATAACAAGGTGTAGAGCTGGATGAACACAGCAGGCCAGGCAGCATCAGAGGAGCAGAATTTCCCTTGTCCTCACGTATCACCCAATCAACCTCCGGATTCAATGCATCATTCTCCACCACTTCCGCCACATGCAATCTGACCCCACTACCAAGGATATATTTCCCTCCCCACTCTTATCTGCCTTCCGGAGGGACAACTCTCTCCGTGACTCCCTCGTCCGTTCCACGCTCCCCACTAGCCCCACCACCCCTGGCACATTTGCCTGCAACCGCAGGAAGTGCTACACCTGCCCCTACACCTCCCCCCTCACCTTCATCCCAGGCCCCAAGAAAACCTTCCACATTAAACAGATGTTCACCTGCACATCTGCTAATGTAGTATACTGTATCCGCTGTTCCCAATGTGGCCTCCTCTGCATCGGGGAAATCAAGTGGAGGCTTGGAGATCGTTTTGTGGAACACCTAAGCTCGGTTCGCAATAAACAACTGCACCTCCCAGTCGCGAACCATTTCAACTCCCCCTCCCACTCCTTGGACGACATGTCCATCCTGGGCCTCCTCCAGTGCCACAACAATGCCACCCGAAGGCTGGAGGAACAGCACCCCATATTTCACTTGGGAAACCTGCAGCTCAATGGTATCAATATGGACCTCACAAGCTTCAAAATCTCCCCACCCCCGACCTCATCCCAAGACCAGCCCAGCTTGTCCCCGCCTCCTTGACCTGTCAGTCTTTTCTCCCACCTATCCGCTCTTCCCACCTCACTGACCAACCCCCACCCCCACTTCCTACCTACTAGCCTCATCCCCACCTCCTTGACTTGTCCATCTTCCCTCCCACCTACCCGTCCCTCCCTCCTCACTGACCAAACCCCCACCTCCACTCCCTACCTACACTCACCTTTACTGGTGTCATCTCCGCCTCCTTGACCTGTCCGTCTTCTGTCCACCTATCTGCTCCTCTATCCACCTTCCATCATCACCTCCCCCTCTCACTATTTATTTCAGAACCCCCTTCCCCTTCCCCATTTCTGAAGAAGGGTCCAGACCCAAAATGTCAACTTTCCTGCTCCTCTGATGCTGCCTGGCCTGCTGTGTTCATCCAACTCTACACCTTGTTATCCCATTTTTATATTAACCAGGATCTCACAGAAGTACAATAAGCCGTCTGCATATGCAGAGATAGTTCTTTTAGAGGCATAATTGTTGTCTATCAACAGGAATTGTAACAACAGGAATTAAGTTATGAAAAAGTGCTTCTCATTAAGGGAAGCACGGTGGCTCAGTGGTTAGCACTGCTGCCTCACAGCGCCAGGGACCTGCGTTCAATTTTGGGTTCAACTGTCTGTGCGGAGTTTGCACGTTCTCCCCGTGACTGCATGGGTTTCCTCTGGGTGCTCCAGTTTGCTCCCACAGTCCAAGGATGTGCAGGCCAGGTGGATTGGTCATGCTAAATTGCCTGTAGTGTTCAGGGATGTGGAGATTAAGTGGGTTATAGGGGGATGGGTCAGTGTGGACTTGTTGGGCCAAAGGGCCTGTTTCCAAACTGTAGGGATTCTATCTATCTATCTTCTATCTATTTGTAGGACTTGAAGGAAGCCTTTGAAGAGGAGGCAAAGGAGACTGGGAAGGAAAGACTCCTGCTAACAGCTCCAGTGGCGGCGAAAGAACAGATCATCAGTTCTGCATATGAGATACCTGAGATTTCAAAGTGAGTGCAAATTAAAGCAAGAGTGAAATGTGTAACCTGTCGAAAAAGGTGGCATTCTGGATCATGAACATCATTATAAGCCAACGGACTGAAGAAGTTTTCATTGAAATTGTGAAGAAAAACTAAAGATTTGAACATCGGCCATTTTGGTTCAGAGCTTGCTCCCAAATCATGGCTCAAATAGACATTTTGAGTTGTTTTCTTCACCTTCCAATGCTCCTCTGTGAACACTATTAAGCAATCAAGGGTTCAAGCAAGGGTCCTGTTTATTATACTTGGTTCAACAGCAAAACCAGTGAAATATGGTTGACGTTTAAAACAAAATAACTTTTTTTTTTGGAGGCTACGTTTTGGTTTTCAGTGACTTTTTCCATCTCACTAACACCTTCATTAGGTAATAGACCTTCCTATTAAGACTACGACCTTTGTTATGCTGATACGGGGGAGATTTTTGACTTGGAAGAAAAATTCCCAAGAATTATTTAACTTGAAATCACTTCACACAAGTGAAGCAATATTTAATTAGTGCAAGACAACAAGATTAACGAACAACAAATGCTTTTAAAATTAAATCACATTTCTATACACAAATTCACCCTAGATACTTTCTCCATGCACCGAAGGTCTTGGGATGTTGAGGACACAGGTAAACCATTGCATGAAACACAAACAGGGAAGACATGGTGGCATGGTGGTTCAGTGGTTAGCACTGCTGCTTCACAGTGCCATGGACATAGGTTTGATTCCATCCTCTGGCGACTGTCTGTGTGTAGTTTGCACGTTCTCTGCGTGTGTGCATGAGTTTCCCATTTATTCCTACTCTCTGTTTCCTGTCTGTCAACTAATTCTCAATCCACTCCAAAATATTATCCCCAAGCTTCACTCCCCAAGCCTTAACCCTAGATTTACTCCCTGGCATTGCTCCCATTTACTGTTGCTTTGACTGCTGTCGTTCACACTATTCCTGAAATCACAGGCTGGTCTGTCTTGCTTTTGCTGCTGATAGTTATTAATAAAATTATTAGGTTCACAATGAACTGAATAATAATTTTATTAATACCTAACTATGAAAAGCAAATGACATCTCAGACTTATTTATACAGTCCACCTTATGCTCTCACTTGGACCATAACACCACAAGATATAGAAGCAGAAGCAGACCATTCAGCCCTTTGAATGTGTTCTACCATACAATGTGATCGTGGCTGATCTGATAATCCTCAACTCCACTTTTCTGCCTTTTTCTGATAATCCTTGATTCACTCACTAATTTATAAATCTGTTGATCCTTGACCCTATTTAACAACCCAGCCTCACAGCTCTCTGCAGTAAAGTATTTCACAGATTGCCTGCTCTATGAAAGAATAAATTCCTCCTCATCTGTCTTAAATAGGTGAGCCCTTATTCTGGGATTATGGCCTCTGGTCTGACACTCTCTCAGAAGGGGGAAACAACCTTAGCACAATGACTTGTTAAATCCCTTAAGAATCATGTGTTTCAATTAGGTTGTCTCTCATTCTTCTAAATTGAAACCCAACCTCTCCTCATAAGACAATCTCTCCATACCTGGTATCAAGCCAAGTGAACATTCCTTGGTAGACTTCCAATGCAAGTCTTTTGTTTTAGAGATTATTACCATATTTCAAATGTGCTTGACATGTTGACTAGCTGACTGCTCACTCACCTGCTGACTGAACGTATAGAGTGTGCAATAGGGACATTTTCTGCCAGAATTTCATGTCAATAAGGTGATTTAGCTTTCTAAAGGATATAGTGCCTTTCTGAAATCTGTACAATAAAATGATCAGGAATAACTAGGAAATGCTGCAAACAAGAATTAGTATTACAGCTGCACATCGCTGTTACTTGAGTAATGTGCATTCTGTTGAAGCTCCTCTTCCAGTGAGAAAGAGACCAGGATGAGGAGAAGGAGAAGAAGAAAGGCCAGCTGGTGAAGGTCATATACGCTCTATAAATACATTACGTTCTGTAAACTGCTACTGAAAAAGGGTCTGCAGAGGCATAGCAATAGGCAATGGCAGCAAAATGAAATAAAGGGCTGGTGAAGTAACGCGTTACTTAGCCTAGTGGGCTGGTTCTTGATGTATGGTGATGCCAATAGCAGGAGTTCAATTTCTGTACCAGCTGGGGTATGAAGATCCTACCCTCTCAACCTCTCCCCTTGCCTGTGGAGACCTTTGGGTTAAATTCACCATCAGTCTTGCTTCTCTCTATGAAGACAGAAGTCTGTGGTCTCTTTATATCTATCAGTGTCAGAGCTCCAGTGCTTGAGAAATGTCCATTTTGTTACATTTGTCTGTTCAATGTAATCATAGGACAAGAATCTGGTTAGTCTATTTAAAGGTAAAATTACTGATAATTATTAATCCATCTGTTCAGAGATCTTACTACATACTTCTGGAGCAGGTGGGACTTGAACTCTATTCTCAGCTCAGAGGTAGGGGACTACCACTGCACCACAAGAGTTCCAAAGATATGATTATATTCATACTGTTATGACGACATGACTAATCATACAGAGAGTATGATGGAGACATTGTATACTCAAATATCCTATGTCATGATTTAGCCTTCTTAAATGTATTATGCTTGTCCAAGATCAGTGCAACATTACAACAGGGAACAACACTCAGCATTACAGATCATTAACGTTTAAAATCTGATCAGCTTACTTAAACATCTATAACTGCATTTTCTCTCAACACCAATGAGCTGATACACTTTTTGGAATACTATCAAAATCACCTGACCCAAAAGTAGCCAAACGCTCAGCAACATACAAAGGGATATCCATTGGCTGGGACTCCAATGGAGAATTACCTGAATATTAAAATTCATCACTTGCAATCTATAACCCACAATGAAATCTTCAAATGTCTCTGATAATGAGACTTCCCGACTTTTGATATCACAAGAATGAAAACATAAATCTCAAATTTCTTCTTGGAAAGAGGAGGATCGGATTCCACCCTTCTATTCCCACCCAATCCTTATCAAAGGATGAAAGGTGAACTCTGACAATGGACAGCTGAAACTCATGGTAGAAATGGATCATACTGATGGAGAGTCAACAAACAGGTTTCCATACATCAAAACCATCTCCAGTGAGCAGTCACTACGGAAGGTTTTGTCCTTGTAGAAAAGGAAACATCTAGAAATACGGAGAAATATGTGGGAATGTGCAATAACATCAAAAATGAATACCCTATCTCTCTTATTTACAATATATATTAATAACTTGGATGAAGAAAGGGAATATACTGTCACCAGGTTTGTGGATGTCACAAAAATATGTAGCAAGACAAGTGATGAGGATGAAAAAAAAAGCACGCAGAGGGGTATAGACAGGTTAAATGAATAGACAAAAGCTTTGCAGATGGAATATAATGTGGGGAAATGTGAGGTTATACACTTTTGCAGGAGGAATACAGGAGCTGAATATTATTTAAATGGAGAATGACTTCAGAAATCTGCAGACAGAGGAGTTTGAGAGTAGTCGTCCAGAAATCACAAAAAAGTAGCATTCAAGTTCAGGTAATAAAGGGAAAAGGAATGTTGGCCTTCCATTCTAAGGAAAAGGGTGGGGGTGGGAGCAGCACGGTGGCTCAGTGTTTCGCACTGCTGCCTCACAGCACCAGGGACCCAGATTCGGTTCCACCCTTGGCCGACTGTCTGTATGGAGTTTGCACTTTCTCTGTGTCTGTGTGGGATCCCTTCGGGTGCTCCGGTTTCCTCCTACAGTCCAAACGTGTGCAGGTCAGGTGGATTGACCATGCTAAATTGCCCCATAGGGTCCAGGGATGTGCAGGCAAGGTGGATTAGCCATGGGAAATGCAGGGTTACAGGAATGGGTCTGGATGAGAAGCTGTTTAGAGGGTCAGTGTAGATTCAAAGGGGCAAATGGCCTGCTTTTAACTGTAGGGATTCTATGAATTGTCTATTCTATAATCTATAAAAATACGAAAGTTTTGCTAAAACTACACAAAATAATAGTCAGACCACAGCTGGAATACTATGAACAGTGTTGGGCCCATTAGATAATATGTGTTACATGGGAACCAGCAGGAGGCTTCCATGCTCATGTTTGGCTTAATGTCGTAAAAAGCTTATGCAGTCCATAGTCAATGTTGAGGACTCGCAGGGAAACTCCTTCCCAACTATGTACCACTGTGCAGCCACCCTTGCTAGGTCTATCCTCCTGGTGGAAAAGAACATCATCATCATCTGTGGTTGTATCTGGAATGTTTTCTGTAAGGTATGATTCCATAACGATGGCCATGTTAAACCATGGCTTGACTAGTCTACATGATAACTCTTTCAAATTTGACAGTAAGCCCCAGGATGTCAGTTTGGAGGACTTTGTCGGGTTGCCAGAACTTGTGTTTGGTATTGTTTGTAGTGCCTTCATCGATGCCAGGTGGCCAGTCAAGTTTCATTCCCTTTTTGAGACTTTCTCTAGCTGTTGATTCAACTGAATATCTTGCTAAGCCATTTTGGAGGGTTGTTCAAAGTCAACTATATTTCTGTGGGTCTGGAGTCACATGAAGTCTAAACAAGATAAGAATGGAAGGTTCCTTTCACGAACAACCATTACCGAACCAGGTGGGTCACTATAACAATGGCTTTGTGATCATCATTAGACTTTTAATTCCAGATATTTATCAAATTCAAATTCCACCAGTTTTCATGGTGGGATTCAAACCTGTGTCCATGAAACATTACTTGGGTCTCTGGATTACTAATTCAGAAATAAAGATACTGAACTACTGCTTCCCACATGAGTAATAATTATAGGAAACTACTAAATTGAATTTTGATTTTGTTTTAAACAGATATCTGGACTTAATCTCTGTGATGACATATGATTTTCATGGAGTGCAGGATAATTTCACTGGACACCATAGCCCCCTGCATCCTGGCTCTGCTGACAATAAGTCTAATAGTATTGTAAGTATTTGTGCAAAAGTGGTATCTATATTTTAATATTTTCGTTATCACAAATATCTAGTAAGAACTTTTTTGTTGGCTTGTAGAACCTCAAAGATATCAAACTGAATTATTTTACAGGAGCACGCTTTAAAATACTGGAGGGATAAGGGTGCAGCAGCAGAAAAACTACTTGTTGGATTTCCAGCATTTGGAAATACCTACAAACTTAGTACCTCCCAAAAAGATCTTGCTGTTCCTGCCTTTGATGGTGGTTCCCCTGGTCCATACAGTGGCAAAAGTGGATTTTTGGCATACCAAGAGGTAATCATGTTGAAACTGTTTGTGGTGTTATTATCCCAACTGTGGTGGTCCTGGACAAGTTCGTTCTCGGAATGATCAATAATGTTTCTTTTTTCTTTCTTTATTAACTTGGATATTAGTCACTGAGACATATTCACATGAAGCTGCATATTTTCTTCAATAACAGAACAGAAGTATTTTTTTCCACAGGAGAAAAAAGCAAGCTACTTAAATGCAAAAGAATTTTATAATAAATTATCTTAAGACAACTGAAAAATAAACTTTCAAGGTATTTCTTGACATTATCTATTACAGAGAATCTCAAGTCCAGAGAGAATTTACTACTGGGTAAATGAATAAATTAGTGCTTAGAATTTTGTTTCCCAGAAAACTGCAAAAGATTTTTTTTTTGGCCAGAACCAAATCAATGGAATGATAACTGAAAGTTGATGAGAATTACACCCAGCCCAGAACGGTCAGACAAGAACTCTGCAGTAACGGGAGGACAGTTGGTCGATACTGAAAACAAATGCTCAAAATGCAAATTTGTATCAGACCTTTAAGTTGAATAGTTATTGAAATATGTGAATACAATCATCAAGTAGCTTAGATGTTCCTTGAATAAATAACTCCATGCTTCAATAATGTGATAAGGAATTAGGACAGTTGACTGGAATATTTCAACACAAAGTTTAGGCGAAGATCTATTTTGAGCCATAGAGATATACAGCATGGTAACAGACCCTTCTGTCCAGCTCATCCATGCCGACCAGATATCCTAAATAAATCTAATCCCATTTGCCAGCATTGGACCGACATCCCTCTAAATCCTTCCTATTCATGTACCCATCCAGATGCCTTTTAAATGTTGTAATTGTACCAGCCTCCATTATTTTCTCTGGCAGCGCATTCCATACACACACCACTGTCTGTGTGACAATGTTGCCCCTTAGGCCCCTTTTCAAATCTTTCCCTTCTCACCTTAAATCTATGCCCTCTAGTTTTGGACTCCCCCACACTGGGGGAAAAAGCCTTGTCTATTTAGCCTATCCATGCCCTTCACCCCGCAGCCTCTGACGCTCTAGGGAAAATATCCCCAGTCTACTCAGCCTCTCCCTATAGCTCAAACCCTCCAACTCTGGCAACGTCATCAAATCTTTTCTGAACCCTTTCACGTTTCACAACATCCTTCCTATAGCAGGGAGACCAGAATTGAATGCAGTATTCCACTAATGGTCTAACCAATGCCCTTTACAGCTGCAACGTGACCTCCCAACTCCTATACTCAATGCACTGACCAATAAAAGTAAGCGTACCAAACGCCTTCTTCACTATCCCGTCTAGCTGCGACTCCATTTCAAGGAACTATGAACCTGCATTCCAGTGTTCAGCAACACTCCCCAGGACCTTACCATTAAATGTATAAGTCCTGCCTTGATTTGCCTTTTCAAAATTGCAGGACCTCACATTTATCTAAATTAAACCCCATCTGCCACCCCTCGGCCAATTGGCCCATCTGATCAAGATCCCATTGTACTCTAAGGTTACCTTCTTTGCTGTCCACTAAGTTTCCAATTTTGATGTCATCTGCAAACTTACTAACCATACCTCCTATGTTCACATCCAAATCATCTATATAAAATGACAAAAAGCTGTGGGTCAAGTACTAATTCTTGTCGCACACCACTGGTTACAGGCCTCCAGTCTAAAAAGCAACCCTCCACCACTACCTTCTGTCTCTACCTTCGAGCCAGTTCTGCATCTCTACTCCATGTGATCTAACCTTGCTAACCAGCCTACCATGAGGAACCCTGCCGAACACCTCACTGAAGTCCATATAGATCACATCCACCGCTATGCCCTCGTCAATCATCTTTGTTACTACTTCTTCAAAAAACTCAATCAGGCTCGTGAGACTCTATTTCCCACGTATGAAGCCATGTGACTATTACTAATCAGTCCTTGCTTTTCCATTTACATGTAAATCCTGTCCCTCGGGATTCCCTCCAACAATTTGCCCACCACTGATGTTATGCTCACTGGTCTATAGTCCCCTGGCTTTTCCTTACCACCTTTCTTAAATAGCGGCACCGCATTAGCAAACCTCCAGTCTTCCGGTACCTCAGCTGTGGCTATTGATGATACAAATATCTCAGCAAGGGGCCCAGCAATCACTTCCCTAGCTTCCCACAGCGTTCTAGGATATGCCTGATCCAGTCCTGGGGATTTATCCGCGTAATGAGTTTTAAGATATCCAGTGCTGCCTCCTCTGTTATACGGACATTTTTCAAGATGTCGCAATTTATTTCCCCACCTTCTCTTTCATATCCTTCTCCACAGTAAACTCTAATGCAACATATTCATTTAGTATCCCCCCCATCTCCTGCGGATCCATACATAGTTGGCCTTGCTGATTTTTAAGGGTCCCTATTCTCTCCTTCGTTATCCTTTTGTCCTTAATGTACTCATAGAATCCCTTTTGGGTCCTTCTTACCCTATTTGCCAAAGCTATCATGTCTTCTTTTGCCCTCCTGATTTCCCTCTTAAGTATACTCCTACTGCCTTTATACTCTTCTAGGGATTCACTTGATCCCTGCTGTCTATACCTGACATAGGCTTCCTTCTTATTCTTGACCAAAACCTTAATTTCTGTAGTTTACCAGCATTCCCTACACCTACCAGCCTTGCCCTTCACCCTAACAGGAACAAACTGTCTCTGGATTGTCATTATCTAATTTTATTAAAGACTTCCTATTTTCCAGCTGTCCCTTTACCTGCAAACATCAGTCCCCCAATCAACCTTTGGAAGTTTTTGCCTAATACAGTCAAAATTGGTCTTTCTCCAATTTAGAATTTTAACTTTTAGACCCGATCTATCCTTTTCCATCACTATTTTAAAACTAGTAGAATTATGATCACAAGCCCCAAAGTGCTCCCCCACTGACACCTCAGTCACCTGCCCTGCCTTATTTCCCAAGAGTAGGTCAGGTTTTACACCTTCTTTAGTTGGTAAATCCACATACTGAAGTGGAAAATTTTCTTGTACACACTGAACAAATTCCTCTCCATCCAAGCCCTTAACACTATGGAAGTTCCAATCTATGTCTGGAAAGTTAAAATCCCCTACCATAAACCACCCTATTACAGATAACTGCGATCTTTTTAAAAATTTGTTTTTCACTTTCCCACTATTTGTAGGTCTATAGTACAATCCCAATAAAGTGACCATCCTTCCTTATTTCTCAGTTCCACCCAATTAATGTCCCTGGACGTATTCCCAGGAATATCCTCAAGTACAGTTCTAATGTTCTCCCAAATCAAAAATACCACTCCCCTCCTCTCTTGCCCCCCTTTCTATCCTTCCTATAGCATCTATACTCTGAAAAATTAAGCTGCCAATCCTGTCCATCCCTGCGTCATGTCTCTATAGTTGCTTTGATATCCCAGTCCCATGTTCCTAACCATGCCCTGAGGTCATCTGCCTTACCTGTTAGGCCTCTTGCATTGAAACAAATACAGTTCAATATATCAGTCCTACCTCGTTCTCTATTTTGTTCCTGCCTGTTTGACTTACTCCTTTTCCCAACTATACCAGTTTCAGACTGATCTTTCCTCACCATCTCCCTGGGTCTCACCACCAAATCATCTAACCACCTCCTCACCCCCACACCCCCATCTAGTTTAAATCCTCCCGAGCAGCTCTAGCAAATCTCCCGCCAGTATATTAGTCCCTTCCAATTAAGGTGAAATTCAGTCCTTCTTATACAGGTCACTACGACACCAGAAGACATTCGAATGATCCAAAATTATGAATCGTTTACCCCAGCACCAGCTCCTCAGCCACACGTTCATCTGCTCTATCCTTCTATTCATACCTTTACTAGTTCATGGCGCCAGGAGTAATCCATATATCACTACCCTCGAGGACCTACTTTTTAATTACCTGTCTAACTTCCTATATTCTCTCCTCAGGAAGAGAAAAGGCTGAGATTCTATGTCGTTAGTTCCAGTGTGTACAACAACCTTTTGCTAGTCCCTCTCTCCTTTGAGAATATTCTGCACTTCCTATGAGATATCTTTGATCCTGCTCCAGGGAAGCAACACACTATTCTGATGTCTCACTGTTAGCCTCCGAAACGTCTGTCTGTGTGTCTCTGACGACAGAGTCCCCAATCACAATTGATCACTTGGAACCTGGCAATACCCCTTGTTACATTAGAGCCAGTTTTGGTACCAGAAACCTGGCTGTCAGTGCTACATTCCCCTGAGAGTCCATCACCCCCTACATTTGCCAAAACAGCATACTTGTTTGAGATGGGGATAGCCACAAGGGACTCATGCACTACCTGCCACCCGCTCCTACTTTTGCTGGAGGTAACCCACCTACCTGACCACATCTTCAATTTATCTCCCTGCCTACAACTGCCATCTATCAGACCCCCAGCTCCTGTAAATCCCACATTGCCTCTAATTGCCGCTCCAACTGATCCAGTAGGATTTGCAACCAAACACACTTCCTGCAGACATAATCATCAGCAAACGGAAAATCTCCTTAATCTGCCACATCCAATAGGAAGAGCAAATCACTCCAATAAAGCCCCTCTTTGCACCTTAACAATCCACAGGCCCAGAAAATAGCACCGTCTTGCTGCTATCATTAGATTTCTTACAAGCTATTCCAGAATAGAGCAAACCTTTATGAATCTTTACAATAAATCTGAACAAAATGTTATTGTCAGCAATATATCCAGGCCAATCTCTGTAAAAGGGTATATAGAAAGAGACTTTGGAGGGCCTCAGCCCAGTCAGTCATAGAGATAAAGTCCTCGATGTACATTTGCTCTGGAGTAGTTTGAGAAATCCTGAAGATGAGAGACTCCAAGAAGAAAAGTAAAAGTAGAAGAAGAAAGATTATCCTGGGCTAGTTTTGAAGAAACCTGCCTTAGTCAGATCCAAGTCCTTCATGGGAAGTCTCCTAGAAGAAAGTGTAAATTGCCCAGAGAGACAAGCAATCTCCATTT